TTTACAACTCAATCAAATTCTCGTCAAACCTGTCATTGTAATTTTTGAAATCTTCACTGCATTCAGTTTCACTGAGCTGTCCAGCATCATAGTTGCAATAGGGGATTCCATAAAAACCCCATTTGGCAAATGGTCGCATAGACAAACCATAGCGAATCGTTTGCCTTAGAAAATCGCTAAAAATTTTGTAATTCTGATAATTATTAGCGATGCATAATTTCGGAATTTGAGAGTACTGGTAGAAGCTTCTCAGTCCGGGATCGAGGGGTCTCGTCTTCTCACTTTTTATTTGCAGTTAATATGCATAAACAATCTTGGCCCATATAAGAGTGGCAGTCGATTTCTTAAGAGCATTGCATTAGCTGGTATAAAAGCGCAGTGGTAAAAGCCGGTGCAGTAAGTAACTTTTACTATAGCAAATTGCCCTGCTAACACAAAAAGTTTGTCAAAATTTTGCATCCGGAAATGAGCAGTTCCAAAATTTTGCATTTTTGACTTCAGGGTTTTTAATAAAAACGGAATAATAATATTAATAATAGTGATAAAATAAAACAAATAGTTAATATTACTGCTATCATTAATAATAAAAATAACAGTGATGGAATGGACTAGTGATAATAATGATAACAATAGTAACAATAACAACAATAGTGACAACCTCTGTTCAGGTATAAGGTCCAGAGTCAGTTGAAGTATTCTAGCTTGTAGCTCTGAAGTTGAGTTATATGCGAATACATAAATCAGCTCAAGGACTACGTGCACCGAATGGTCCCCCTTTTTCCAATCCAATTCGTTCTTTGCAAAAATGGTTGCCATTCATACCGTCGGAGCATAAGAGAAAGTATAGAAACTCTCCATAAGGTATATAAAAAGAAATACACAGAAAAGTACAACATGTAGCACTTACGCAGCAGCTACATTAAATTCAATTGCAGCTATACTTTTTGCACTTTTACGACTCAAATGTGGAAATCGCTGTAGCACGTATGCAATCGATTCGTTTTTGTAGATCCTTTTTGAGCCCCAATTAAGGAACCACAGTGGCCGCCAACTTTCAAAATCCAACACTGCGAGACCGTCAAAATTGGCATCCGGAATTGCTGCTTCGATATCGCGGTGAACTTGGAGCAAATGGGCCTCCATGTTTACACGCTGTAAGCAACCTCGTCAGACTTTCTACGCTTATAATTTCTGTGTATTTTTATTCTTTTATAAAGGAAGTCTCACGAGGTTCCGACCAAAGCATTTTTTCGTGGTGTGGCGGTTGCAAGGGTCTAGAAAGTGCCGGGGCGCGTCGGGATACCAAATCTGAAAG